CCTCCTCCACGGTTTTGTTTGTCTTGTAAATTTTCTGCACGCCTGCATGCAGTGCGAGAGAATGCAAAGCCCTGATGAACGGGTGGAGATATTTGCGTACAGGTTGAAATTTAAAGCACTATTTAATAAAAAGGAAACAACAGACATCTTTCTGGCTGATCAAGCGAATAACGTCTGAATCCATCGCCATGGATACATTATTTCATGTAAACAACATTTCACATCACTTCCTGTTGGCTGGAGGTATTCTGATGACGCTTTCACACCATGGTGGTTTGATATGGGCTGTATGAGTATCTCTTACTTTGGGTTTAAAAATAAGACTGAAGATCTGAAGTGTTTTTAAAGCTGCTATCTGAGATTACATCGTTTAAATAAAAAAATAGAAACGCAGAGAGGGATCAAAAATTTTTTTTTTTCAAAGATTTAATTTTTTTGGCTTTTTTTGCCTTTAATTGAGAGATAGGACAGTGGATAGAGCTGGAAATCAGAGAGAGAGAGAGTGGGGAATGACATGCAGGAAAGGAGCCACAGACGGGACTCGAACCTGGGCCGCCCGCTTTGAGGACTATAGCCTCCATACATGGGACCGAGCACTAACCACTGCGCCACCAGCACATTTTGACGACCTCACTGACGTTCTGAAGAAGTTTCACTGCAGACACCCGAGCGTCTGTTTCTTTTTGTGTGTGTGTGTGTGTGTGTGTGTGTGTGTGTGTGTGTGTGTGTGTGTGTGTGTGTGTGTGTGTGTGTGTGTGTGTGTGTGTGTGTGTGTGTGTACAGCCTCTATTTACATCATATCTGAGAGAGAAAATATGGGCCTGACCTCCACGCAGCGCCTCCTACGTTAAAGCTTTGTCTCTGCTTGGACTTTTCATTTTCATGATGTGTATGTTCTAAAAACATTTCCTCCACGTGGCAGCAAATATTTTCATCCTGCCGACTCGAGTGTGAGACACGAGAAGAGATTTAGAAAGTCACGTTTTTGGTCATTAAAAACTTTTTTGTATACACGGTGTTTAAAAGCTGCAGCCTGCAGGTCAGAGCTTTTGTAAACACACACACACACACACACACACACACACACACACACACACACACACACACACACACACACACACACACACACACACACACACACACACACACACACACACACACACACACACACACACACACACACACACACACAAACATCCAGTTCTCCCTCACATGCCAGGGGCGGCAGTAGCTCAGTCTGTAGGGACCTGGGTTGGGAATCGGAGGGTCGCCAGCTCAAGTCCCAGTGCGGACCAAATCTGGAAGCTGCTATGGTAGCTGGAGAGGCGCCAGATCACTGCCTGAGCACTGCCGAGGTGCCCTTGAGCACCAAACCCCCTCCCCACCCACCACCAGCCCCGTCACCCTGACACTTCCATTAGTGCATGTCCATACGATCCTGTTTGTATATTTCAGCCTATGTGTGTTGCATGATTAACAGAGTGTAAAAACAGAATTTCCCCTCAATAAAGTAAAAATCTTTTAATCTCTCATTAGGTTAACTTCTGACTCTAAATCGTCCGTAGGTATGAATGTGAGTGTGGCTGGTTGTCTGTCTCTATATGTCAGCCCTGTGATTGGCTGGTGACCAGTCCAAGGTGTAACCCCGCCTCTCGCCCAATGACAGCTGGGATCAGATCCAGCCCGTGCAACCCTGAACGGGGATAAAGCCGTATAGATGATGGATGTTGTCCTTTACGTAGTTTTATGTGTGAATCATATTTCTGACTCTCTTCTTCTTCTTCTTGTGAGAGGAGTGTGAGTGGAAGAGCTGGAAAGTTTGAACTCGTTTGAGTGCGTTTTTCTTTTTTGTATTGTTTGATGTAGGTGTTAGTTGTTTAGTTGAGTGTTTGTCGGGGTTTATTTAGTTTTAAGGTTTTTTCTGTGTGGGTTTTACTGGCCAGGTGTTGTCTGGCCGGTCGACGTCTCGAGACGCCATGGTGAACAGCGGGGTTTTTTCCAAGCTGACACGGAAACATGGTTTCAAAGTGGGTGCCACAACAAATGGTAATTTTTTCCAAAAGTTTTGATGGCGAAATTGGCCTCCAATTCTGGAATGACCCTGCTGGTGGAGTCTGGTATTTCTGTGAATGGGATTTTTTTTTGCAGGTAACACCGCTAATGTCTAATGTCCCTCCGTTTATTAGTGATGACTTTTTTTTTTTGCAGAGAGTTGTCCAGACATGGTAAGCTGGTGTCTCCCATTAGAAAAGTTTTGTCTGGCTGTAAATCGCCTCTGTTGAAACATGTTGTCTCTGTTGAACAACCGTAATGAGGAGTTTAATGTCCGCTTTCATATGCGAGTAAATGATTTTGATTGTGTGTTGTTTGCAACATCCTCAAACATGAAATGTTTCGGTTGTGGTGAAGAGGGACATGGCATTAAAGCGTGTCCTAAACGGGCCAACTCGGCTCCGCCCGGCGCGGGGGAGCAGCGCAGAACCCGGAGGCGCAGGGGTCTGGTCCAGAGGGCAGTCGGCCGCTGGCGACGGTGGTGCGGTCTCGCAGAGCGGCAGAGAAAGGTGGCAGTACCGAATTGTGTGGAGAGGGAGTAGTTTTATCTGCTTATGCTGATGATGTCGTTGTTTTATTAAAAGGTCGACAGGATGTAAACACATTAATCAGTGTAAGTGATCCGTTTTCTGTTATGTCCGCTGCCAAGGTAAACTGGAGTAAGAGTGAAGCTCTTGCCGTGGGTGAGTGGTGTGAAAGCCTCCCTGTTCTCCCTCAAAGCCTGGTCTGGAGAAGAGATGGCTTCAAATATCTAGGCCTCTTTTCAGGGGAGGAAAATGTTGTTTAAAAGAACTGGGAAAACATAACAGAAAAGGTAGAGAGCAAGTTAGCGAAGTGGACATCTGGGAGTACATTCCCAGATGTCTAACAGAGGCAGGGTATTGGTTTTAAACAACCTGGTAGCCTCTTTACTGTGGCACCGGCTAGCCTGTTTGGATCCCCCATCAGGTCTGTTGGCTCAGATCCAGAGCAAAATGATCAATTTGCTGCTCTGTTTTTAACTGATTTAAAAAAAATAAAGTTAAGTGTGCTACCTCGGTTTTATCAAGGGTTTTTTAAAGAGGTCATATTATGGCCTTTTTGGGGTTCGTATATTTAATCTATGTACCTACTAAAGTATGTTCACAATAGCTAAAGTTCGAAAAAAGTGTCTGTTTTCATGTTCTGCCGCTCCATGCACCAGCTTGCTTCTGACTCTCTCTCTAAGGCTCTGAAGTGCCCACGTTCAGAGTCCCCATGTGTGCCAAGTCTGATCTGATTGGTCGACTTGTCGGCTCTGCCGTAATTGGTCAGTCGCTCAGCACGGTTCTCGGAAATGTCCCGCCCCTTTTACCAAATTGGGAATGTAGCCACTTTGGCTCTGAGTGGAGCATAAACATTAGCACCTTAGCACTACTGTGCTACCGCAGGCTACAGCATATCATGGGCGTGCTACAGAAGTTAATGGGCGTGCAACATGAGCTGCAGGGCTTGCCACAACGAGCCAATAGGCTTAGATCAGTGATCTCACACTGACAAGACGTCACACTGGCAAATTTTTTTCGAGGGGGGCTAGATCCGAGCGTTACATGCAGCTAATGCTACAGCTAACAGGAGGACTTAGGAGAAGCCGTGTTTCCGCGGACTTTGAAATTTTGCACATAGATGTGCCTCAACATGCACAGGACACTTGGAAAACACACTAAAGGGCATATAAAACCAGAAAAAGCATAATATGACCTCTTTAAATCATGCACTTTATTTGACTGGAAACGACTCAAGTATAACTCTGCACTGGTTGTTGATGGAGCCTTTAGTTTGTGGTGCCAGACTGGATGTGTGTTGCAGCTCCGTACCAGGACTGATGGGGGCGCTGTGTAACACAAAGACTGTGCCACTAAAATAACTGGTGGACACTGCGGGACCAGCACTCTCTGACATCCAGGCCGTGAGTTCTCTGTTGGGGGGTCCGTTCTGCCAGACTGGTTCAGAGAAGCCTGGAGCTGTGGAGAAAGAAGCTCTCTGCAAAGGAAAAGAGCCTCCTCCTATTGTACAGTGAGGGAGGGGTTCAACCTGACCCCACGGACATGTTCCCTAACCTCCACCTCAACCTGGGGTTCACAGAGCTCAGTGGTCCCCTCCTGTTAGAGCCAATGAAAAATTAAATCTGCACAGTGTGGACCAAAAGACTCTTTACAAAAACTGCGTAAAAAACATAAACCAGAAGAACCTGTGCGATCGAGCTGTCTCAGTGTGGACCGACAGAACCCTGCAGGCCCCTCAGTGGAGGACCCTGTACAAACCACCTTTAAAAAAACAAACTGGTGACCTTCAGTGGAGGATTTTACACGGTGCTATTGCTGCTAATGCGTTTTTATCTGTAATCCAGTTATTTTATCCAGTAATCCAGTTATTTTAAACGAATGTCCTTTCTGTGGTCTGCCTGAGAATGTGTTTCATGTTTTTTCTAAGTGCAGGAGACTTACTGTTTTTTTTTTGTTTTTTAACTGTTGTTTTTAATTCTTTTGGTGTTGTTTTTTCAGGGTTAGGGTTAGGGGTTATCGTTGGAGTCAGTTACAGAAAACAAACACAATTTAAGTGCCAACTTTTGAACTTTTTAATTGGTGAAGCGAAATTAGCGATTTATCTGACTAGAAGAGACAAGATACAGACTGGACCAAATGTTGATGTGGTGGCCTTGTGGAGGTGCAACATTAAAGCCCGGCTAAGGCTTGAGTTCTGTTTCCACAGGACCACCGGGAACATGGAAAAGTTCCTGGAGCTGTGGGGTCATGAGGATATAATGTGTTGTGTGACTGAAAAAGGAGAGCTGAGGTTCAGTAACTGTCTTTTGGCTGAGTGTTAATGTGAATGTGTTTTTGATTGAATTTACAAGTTTGCCTGTTTAGATTTATTATGTAAATAAAGTATTTTCTAAAAATCTAAAAAAATCTTCTTCTCTCCTGCAGCCTCCTCTCATCCAGGCGATCTTCAGCGGAGAGCCTGAAGAGATCCGGATGCTCATTTACAAGTCTGAAGACATCAATGCTCTGGTGAGGAAGCTGAAAACACAAACTTAGTAAAGTGGTGGTGTCAGGTAAGACGCTCCAAATGATTTCATTTATCCTGCATTGAAAACAAGAAAAACAACAAACGGAGAGAGCTGCACGGACACATTTAAAAACACTACGAAAATACAAATAAATAGAAAAACGTCAAGTTCATAAGAGTTTGTTCAAAGTGTTCACATGCTCACTACAAAAGACACATCTTATTTCATATTTATTTTTGGGCTCTTGGACTTTATTTGAGAGGACAGTGGATAGAGTAGGAAATTGGGAGAGAGCGGGGGGGATGACATCATGAAGCAGCCACAGGTCGGACTTGAACCCAGGCCGTCCGCTCAGACGACTAAACCTCCGTACATGGGGCAGGAACTAACCTGCTAGGCCATCTGCTCCCCTATATTTTTCATTTTTATGTATTTGTTTCTGTTTCATAGATGGGTGTTTCCTCGGGCTGTCAGTCAGTATTAACTAGTTAATCGTGATTAATTAAGGTCTGAAATGAAGGCATTCATGTTTTAAAATCTCGATGAATCATGTGCCATTTTATTTTTGTAAACTCTGAATCCATCGACTTAATCACACACACTGCTCCCAGCTTTGCTCATGTATATCTATAAATATCTGTAAGTGTGGATTCCTCTCTGAGTCTGAACAGAGGACGCTGTGAGATCAGCTCAGAGACGACGATCACTTGACGGCAGCTGTCAGTGTCAACACACAACCATTGTTCTACTGAGTCAGCACACACACACACACAGACACACAAGCACGCACGCATGCATACACACACACACACAAACACACAAACACACAAACACACTTGGTGATGTGGTGACTCCTCCTGAAGAGTCATCAGAAATCAGACCTTGGATCCAGCAGAGACTGCAGGCCGGCCCGCCCACATCCTCAGCTCCCTCCTACACACACATGTGTTGCGCATCTTTTACACACATGATGTAAATAAGCACACACTCTGAACTTTGGCTTCCCTGACTCCTGACCTCCACCTCTCTCCCTCGGGTGCTGACTGCGACAGGAAGTGAAGGCAGAGGAGAAGAAGAGCCACACTGAGCCGGGTTTTTATTTTCTCACAGATGCTGAGTCCAAAGTCGAGCTCTTCTGCTGATCCTCATTTTTAAACTCTCATAGAGTGTTAGAATGCTGGACGCTCAAACTAAACGTGGACAAAGTTTCAGATCATGAGGTAAACATATGTCGGGAGTAATCCCAGGATGAGTCTGCAGAGGGCGCTAAACGTCTCATTCTGCAAATCACGCCACAGTTCTCCGATATGAAACCAAGAATTTCAAGAAACAATCGCATCTTGGGAACTATATTATTTTGCAATTTAAAAATAAAACTTGTCAGGCTTTTATTTTCTATTTTTGTACTGTCTTAAGCTGAGAGTACGATACTTGCTGTGTGCTTTTATTTTGAAATACAGTAAGGCCCTTCCTGTAGATGGAAGGTTAGGAGAGGAAGTTAAGCACAGAAACAGGTAGTGGTTAGGGATCCCAAAGTGAGGTCAAACAGCTCAAAGGAACGGTAACAAAGGTCAATGTGTGATGTCATAAGGTGGATATTACTTTGGACTTGTCAGCTGAGCCGTCTGAGAGTTTGTTAAAGTGAATTGAGACATTGAAAGATGCAGCAGTGTCCTTCTTTTACATCACTGAGACTACAGGGAGACGCTGAGGACGACTTTCTACGGTGAGCCTGAAGAGACAAAATACCATGAGATTAACTTAAGACCTTAACTAGTTAATGCTGACAACTCTAGTTGATATTAACCCTAACCTGCTTTAAGAGTATAAGTTTGGTTTCTCCTCGTCCTCTGGCGCGCTCTAACTGAGTGACTTCCTCCCTCAGGATACAGAGAAGCGCACGCCGCTGCATGCAGCAGCCTTCCTGGGCGATGCAGAGATCACCGAGCTGCTCATCCTCTCTGGTAAGAGATACAAACTTGATCCCTTTTGTCGATAGTTCTGTGCATCTTGAAGTCATATCTCATCGTTCTCTGCTCGTCTCTTCTCTGCAGGGGCTCGGGTCAACGCCAAAGACAACATGTGGCTCACCCCTCTGCACCGCGCTGTGGCATCACGGAGCGAGGTGAACACAACCGCACACACACACACACACACACACACACACACACACACACACACACACACACACACATCCATGAATCATTTGCTTTCCTCCAAAAAAACACCTTCAACTCCAATACAGGCGTCAATACAGGACAGATACACAAAAACAACACCAGCAATACATACAGAAACCCCACAACACGGGGAAAACAAAGGAACTTAAACCACACAGGGCGGCTGTGGCTCAGCGGTAGAGAGGGTCTGATATGCTGTACAGTTGGTAAAATATATAACCGCTAAGTTAGGCTACAAATGAAGCTTTTCAATGACAGCACGGAGAAAAGAAGCTCTGGTACGTCTTGTTTTGGTTCGAGGTGTTCTGTAACGACCGCCCGAAGGGAGGAGATCAAACTCAGCAGACAGAGGTCAAAGGTCAGGACAGATAAGGATTTATTGAGCTGTACCAAGCGGCTAAAATGAAGCCGATGCTGAAGTGTAATATCCTGCAGTTCCTCGAGTGTCCACTAGAGGCTGGCTGCAGAAGCACAGGAAGTCACATACACACCCATTCAAAAAGCCTGCTTTTACAGCAGAGATTAACATGTTTACAGCCTGGTTCAAAAATCTAAATGGGTCTGATTAGCTCATGTCTCGATCGACACACACTGTACGGGGGGTGAATGTTTTGATTTGATGAAGGATAAGCGGCTTCTATACTAGTAGTTCATTCTGATTTGGACAAAATGCAATATGCGAACAAATGTCAGATCCACAGTTTGCAAAAAAAGATGCTGTACTGATTCTGGGGAAACCTACACTCTACATCAGACCAGTCTCCCTCACGTTCTGTTTCCCACAATGCAAAGCGCCATGTCAGACGTCGAAATGACAGAAAGCAGCGTTCATCGTAACAGAGGAAATAATCCCAATCAGACCAAACCAGCTGTTGTTTACTTCCTCATTCCAAGACTAGAAACCAGTTTAGCCAGGTCTGGTGTACTGCAGAATAACCCACGTCTGGAGGTCAGGGTACAGACTAGTATCAGACGAGGTGTGCAGTATGCAGTCCATACTATATATTGCATTTGATAGCAGTCTGTAGTGGGCGGTTTCTAAAACAGCCAGAGAGAGAAAGACGGTGAGTCCACTACGGCGTGTAACACCCTGCTGACCTCTGTGACCAGCCGCTCTCTCACAGATTCTCACTGAGACACAGCTGTCAAAGAGCTGATCAGCACCTTGTTGTGTTTACCTGACAACACGCTCACTCATCAGTTTGAGCCTCTCCCAGCACACACACACACACAAACACACACACACCGGCCCTGTCTTAAAATTAGTATTCTGTGTAAATCTGGGTCAAACATGTCATCAGACACTTCATCGCTCTGAGTGCCAGAACAGGTCACGCTGCATGGCTGCACACTGCAGGTGTCTATGAACCAGTTTGTGTTGTAGGAATCCTTTCGGTGTGTAAATGTGACTGAGTGAATTAATTAGTCAGTCCATTCTTGTGTGATCTTGTTCTTCCTGTTTTACTTTGTAAGATAGTTTCTGTCCTGTGTTGTTCGGCCTTTTGATTGTTGTGCTTCTTTGGTTGGTTGTTTTAAAGGCTCTGTGTTGAAGTTTTGTGTTTCTGTCGTCTCATTATTTCGATTTTGCACGTCTCTTTGTTGTTGTTGTCGACTTTGTTGATTTGTGACGTGTATTTGTTTAAAAATAAAGTGAACAAAAAGTGTCTGTAGCTTTAAATGTAAATGAGCTGTATCTGACCACGCCCCTCACTGGAATTTGTACTTTCTACTTCCTACAACTGAAGCACAAATTAAAACTTTGCTTTGAGTTTTTATGAGCTGGAATGTGAAGTGTGCATCCTTTTATTGGGATGTTTAGTAGTTTAAATGTTTTCACTTGCGAGGTTAAGACGACGGGAACGTCTCAACTCCCTCATTTGGCCGAAGACAAAATGTCAGGAAAAACAAACATTTCCAAAAAAGAGCGACACAAGAGCTCATTCTTTCTTATTTGCATTTGTTGATTTTGGCACCCCCTGTGGACAAAGCATGTAATGTGTGAAGTCCTTTAAATCATTGTAATCCTTTAACGTCTGCACCTGGATCAGGTTGATCCTATCCGTTCTTTGAACAACCGGACCCTGGGTGGGGCGGGCTTTCTCACTCCATGTCTTATTGTTTAGTGTGAGAAGGCAGACTCAGAGGGCAGAACAGACACCTAGCTGTGGGAGTGTCACCCACTTGGGGGAGGGTTACTGCCCTTTGTGATGTCATGAAGGGAAATTCTCCAAACGGCCTGTTTGAGCACACATTTTCTGAAAAGTGGAGCAGGCAAAAGACAGAGAGGATGGACTTTTCTCATCATTGGGGGGTTTGTAGACTCAGATATTTGTGTATTCATAAAACTCTCTTTCTTTCTTTCTTCCACAGGAGGCGGTGCGAGTTCTGATCCGTCACTCTGCTGATGTGAATGCTCGGGACAAGAACTGGCAGACGCCGCTTCACGTTGCTGCAGCCAATAATGCGCTGCGATGCGCCGAGGTCATCATCCCTCTGCTGAGCAGTGTCAACGTGTCGGACCGTGGCGGACGCACCGCTCTGCATCACGCCGCCCTCAACGGCCACACAGAGGTACTGCAGGGACTCGGTGTTATCAGTTTCCTGCTCTGATGTGTTCTGAACAGGCGGTGATGTAACATCTTTTGTGCGAGGAAACAGGTGGGCGAGTGCAGCTGGATCACTGTTGTTATTAAGTGGGCCGCTCTGTTTGAAACATGGGAATCATTCACAAAAAGGAGTGAATCTAAAATTAACAATGAGAGGCTGCAGAGAGGACGCCGCCTTCTATCTCTGCTCCACACGCTCTCCCCTGAGCGTTTATGCAACAGAGCAGAGAGACGTGTTTACATCGCTGTTATATAAAGAGACCCGCCCACTCAAACACATGCCGTCCCCGCTGCACACTTACAAACATGTAAACACATTAATTTCTCGTAGGTTAACCTCTGACATCTTCTCTCTCTTCCTGTGGTCATCAGATGGTGAACATCCTCCTCGCCAAAGGAGCGAACATCAACGCCTTCGATAAGAAGGATGGCCGAGCGCTGCACTGGGCTGCTTTCATGGGTGAGAAACAAAAGAGACAGAGAGTTTGTTAAAGACGCATCACACCCTTTATTTCCTGGAAGTCGTTAACTGCACATATGAGTGGAAAAAGAATTAGTCATATCAGGCGGTAAGCTGAAGCTGCGTGGGACTTTTGTTGTGTTTTAAAAGCCTAGAAGACAAAAACAGAACATTACAGAACGGTCGAACAGAAAAGACTTCGAGCATCAAAACACAGGAAATAAAGTGATGTAAAAAAACTCAAGATGCTCCTGACCTGATGGAAAAGATAACTGCTCAGTGAAGATGCTGCTTCACTGCTCCTCCTGGTGGAGAGATTAATGGTTGCAACTAGTTTCCACAAGTGGCGCTCACGGGCGTTACTAGTCCGGCATCGACTACGTCACAGCGGGGGATCTCATAACAGTCCCCAGACCCAGCATGGTAATGTCAAGGTCCCACCAGGGAAATAGGGAACGTTTTTGATGCCTTCATCTGTATATCAAATGATGAGCTTCATAACCTACATTATGGACCTTTTAGTTTCCACCACAACCAAACCAGCGATGCCACCTTCAAAGTGCATTAATGCAAGCTCCAGGTCGTGACAATGCCGACACTACCTGCCCTACCACGTGACCTCTCTTTGCCCCCTACAACTCAACCCTGTAACCTGATGGGCAGCCAGAGCCAGGACATCCCCGGGGTCATCCCCTGAATTTTAGCTCTCATTGCCCACAGTGGTGGACTTTATCATTAGTCATAGGTAGGCAGTTGCCTTGGGCCCCCAAACTGCAGGGGCCCCATAACATGCCCTCAAAAATTTTGTTTAAAAATGTAATTAAATTTAATTTTTATGTTGTTAAAAATCCATACCCCCCCAAAAAATGTCATCATGGCTCAATCATGGCTCAATCATCTATATCTCATGTCTCTGGACCCCCCCCCCGGCACTACATGGATTATTCCATGATGCTCAGTGATTTGGAGGAAATGGTTGACGCAGCAAACACAGATGACAGAGAAGAAAGCAAAAGAGAGAGAAGATATGAGGAGAAGCTCATTCAGAAAAGGAAGTAGCGGGACCGACCACATGCAGAGCTTCTATATCTAACCTTCTTAACCACATGGACGCCACAGCCCAAACAGCACCGCATCCTTCAACAGAACTAGGCGCCGTACATTCAGGCTCCAGGTGCTGACACAGCTGATAATACCTGCCTACCACATGGCCCCAAAAAGACCCCCCCCATGCAACTATTGCTGGTGCCAACATTACAAAGAGACCACAAGAACTACAAGAGAAAAAGATCAAGATTGAAACAACGAGCTTCTTCGGTATGGTTATTAAGTTAGACTGAGACAGCATTTCCAGCATGGAGACCGCCATCGATGGGGCTCCAGCGCCCCCTGCAGGAACCGACGGGTGATTGCTCAGTTGGTAGAGTCGTAGCCTCTCAACCAGAAGGTCGAGGGTTCGATCCCCAGCTGAGCAACGTGTCCGACGTGTCCTTGGGCAAGACACTTAATCCCCGCATTTCCCCCGCTGCTTCAGGGGCGGTGTATGAATGGATTAGTGTTGTACTTACTCTCTGATGTACGTCGCTTTGGATAAAAGCATCTGCTCAGTGAATTGTAACACTTTGTAACATTGACAACACTCAGGCTTTGTCCTTAAATCCCTTTTTTTTTTTTTGCCTTGTAGGTCATTTGGATGTGGTGTGTCTGCTGGTGAGTCAGGGGGCTGAGATCAGCTGTAAGGACAAACGGGGGTACACTCCCCTCCACACGGCGGCGTCCAGCGGACAGATCGCTGTGGTCAAACACCTGCTGAACCTGGCCGTGGAGGTCAGGACACACACAAAGACACACAAAACCTCTAACAACACCCACACACGCCTTTCTTTGACTGTAATGAAAGATCTTTGTTTGACTTTTTCCAACAGATCGATGAGTCCAACGGGTTTGGGAACACGGCGCTCCACTTGGCTTGCTTTAATGGTCAGGATGCTGTCGTCAGTGAGTTGATCGATTATGGCGCCAACGTCAGCCAGGCCAACAACAAGGGCTTCACCCCTCTGCACTTTGCCGCAGCGTCCACACACGGAGCGCTGTGTTTGGAGTTTCTGGTCAATAATGGGGCTGACGTCAACGTACAGGTACGCGACACAGAGCTGCTCGCTCTGCTTACAGAGACGACGTGAAGACCTTATTCTTTGTGGATTCAATATTTATCCTGTTATCTTCTTATCTTCTGTTCGTTCTCCTCAGAGTCGGGATGGAAAGAGTCCTCTACACATGACCGCAGTTCACGGACGCTTCACTCGATCCCAGACCCTCATCCAGAACGGTGAGATGTCTTCGCATCTCTTAAAGGAGCTATGACACCTAGTGTTTAAAATGGTTACTACAGCAAATTCTAAACATTGTAGAGAGCTGTCTCCCCCCGCACCCTCCTCTCTAGAGTCGATGCTCACGCAGGTTACCATGTGGTGGACACTGAAGCTTCAGTGTTTAGCCAGCTCTGCATCGGTCTGTAAACCTTTCTGCATTCTAACCTCTCTCCATTTTTCAATTTCTGCTCGTGGAGCTTATTAGAAACATGCAGAGGCTTTTTAGGTCGGGTACAATCACTTCTATCTGAACCAGTTCTCTTGGCCGCTTTCATCGCTGCAACACCTGTTGGTTTGATCTGATAACTGTTTGACCTTCTCTGGTCCAAACATTCGAGCATTCAGGAGCAGAATCTAAAGTTAGAAGGAGGACATACTGGCTGCTGCATTGTTGTCAGAGAAGCCAGCACTTCAACATAGCATGTTTCCTTAATGTCTGATCATATAGTAAGGTCGCTTTATCATTTCACTCACTTCACATCTCACTGATTGGACCTTCACTAACTTCTGGTTTTACTTCAGGCGGTGAGATCGACAGTGTGGACAAAGACGGAAACACTCCTCTCCACATCGCTGCTCGTTACGGTCATGAACTCCTCATCAACACACTTATCACCAGTGGAGCAGACTGCACAAGGTTTGTGTCCGCCTGTTTGAATTCAACTTGTGTTGAATTATTACTTTGACAAAGTTATGCAGAAAAATAAAAAGCGTACTGTTTCCTCTCTGCATCTCTCACTGAAGACGAGGAGTCCACGGCATGTTCCCTCTGCACCTGGCAGCCATGAACGCTCACTCGGACTGCTGCAGGAAGCTGCTGTCCTCAGGTACCACTCCACCTTTACCTACCACCTCTACTCCAGATACTGTTGATAGACTACAACCTGTTGCTGGTTAAGTAGGTTTCTAGAACTTATAGAGTCAAATATCAAACAGTCGTGTCCATCTCTGAGTGTTGACTCAACAGTAGGAACATTTCTAGCCACGCGTCCACCAAGCAGTCGGGTTCAGTTCAGTACTGTCACATTTTGATCTGTACTATCCTACTTTTTGCTCCCCTTCTGTTGGAGTGCCAAGCGTACATTTGACCCTGAAGGGCGGAGCTAGACACGCTGCACTCTGTTGATTGGTCAAAAGAATGGTCACTCCCCGTTAGACAGCGGTAATAAAGGACACAAACAAAACGTGTTTAAATATGTGGGTTTCAAGAGAGTAAAGCAAGGCTTCTTTTGTGTTTATTATGTCTTTGAGCCCGAACCCACCAGAGACGCGTCGCTAGAAAAGCGTTCCCAGCTAGCAGTAATGTGGGACGACTCGCAGAACGATCTAAATCAAACTCCAGAAAGAAGAACCAAACAGAGACGAGAAAACATCTCAGACTCAGCCGTCAACAAAAAGCAAGCAAAAAGCAGACAGCACCCTCTGCTGGATACAATATGAATATTTAGATATATTTTTTTGTGATATCGATTTAAATTGTCCATATTTTTATCAACTTTTCACTTTGATCTGCAAGTTTTTTTGGTACTTCCCTACTCAATAAGCAAAATAAGACGTCCTCTAAGCATTTACTCAATCAGCTGTGTTTATTTTTCCGTCGATCTTCCTGTTAACACTTTGTAGATTTGTGCTGATTTAGAAACTTGTCTGTTTGGCAGCAACTTGATGAGATTGGAGTTTTTCCTCTTTCTCCCATCGGTGCATTCGTCCACAGGCGTACACATTCAGCTCTGTCCAAATTCAAGTCACAATGTTCCTCGACAAAAAGGCCTCACTGCGTCTAATTACTGAGTGATGGGAACGCTCTCCCTCTGGAGACGAGGGTTTTCTGCTGAATCCTCCTCTTCAGCGCTCCAGCGTTGCTAACGTCTTGTTTACAGCTGAAAAAGTTTCCTCGTCGCTTTTGTCCTTGATGACATAGTCTGTATTTCCACTCCTCCCTTGTATTTTTTCGTTGGTTTTCTCGAGAAGTTAGACCACTACAGAGGAGCCGGGTTTCTTAAACAAATGTGAAGTAGGAAAGACAACAATCCTCTCTGGCTCCAGATCACTTTAGATGGTTTTTAGAAAAAAAGGCCCCGTTGGTTCTTGTGTCTGCAGGCGTGGAGCGGGCAGGATGAGTCTGTGCTCCTCATGTGGCTCTGCTGAGCGTCTGTAGGCCGACAACAAAGAAGTCATTTACATGTGTTTGAGTCTCCGTGCAGCTGCAGCCTTGTGTACGCTCTGGACTCTTGTTGTTTGCAGCCAAAGCTTTTTGAATTCATTGCACTAAATCAGCAGCTGAAGAACTGCTAATGATTTAAAGGTGATTGGATGTTACAACACAGAGAAAACAAAAAGTTAAAGGAATCAGTCCCCAAAACATCGAACCTGAAAGAGCATCCTATAGCTGTTCTTTCTTTCTTTCAAGTACCGTAGATTAGATTTTATGTTTTACACCAACATGTATCCTGATTTAAATGTCACATATTCTGCTAAATCCACTCTAACACTAACATGTGTCTCTAGTCTGTCTACAAACCCTCCAATGATGAGAAAAGTCCATCCTCTCCGTCTTTTGCCTGCTCCACTTTTTCAGAAAATGTGTGCTCAAACAGGCCGTTTGGAGATTTTCCCTTCATGACATCACAAAGGGCAGTAACCCCTCCCCCAGGTGGGTGACACTCCCACAGCTAGGGTATGAGCTACCTGGACATACTAGTGAAAAGTAAGGATGGACATGTCTCCTGACAGATCCAGGTCTTGTCTTGACTTGACGTGTGAAAGCCCAACGATCCAGATTCAAACTGAGCTGCTTGCTGCTCTTTCCGTCTCCTATGTCGATCTTTATCCGATGTTTCTTTATTTCCTCATGACCTGATATGAACTCCTTCTCTGTTCAACTGAAAGCCAGCGCCCCTTTGTGTGTTCTCCTTCACCTTACCTCTGTCCTCACCTGTCACACTTACACCTGTCTTTCTCTCCTTCCTGTCTCTGTCTCCCTCTGTCTTTCTGCTGCTGTGTCTTGTCTGGCCTCCCTCCGTCTCCCTGCGCTGCCCTCTTCAGGTCGGAGGTTTAGCATAATGTGTAACGACTCGGTCCTGTCTGCAGGCTTCCAGATCGACACGCCGGACAGTCTGGGGAGGACCTGCCTGCACGCCGCTGCTGCTGGAGGGTAAGATATAAACACATGTATGGATGAGTCCGGTTTATTGAAGTGTCTTTTAGCGATGTTTTCATTGTCTTGTTTGTCTACCTGACGAACAAGACACGACTCCACGACTAATAAGAAGTGGCAGTGAACACAAATTGAATCTTAAATCACTTTATTTGGACGCAGAGCTGGAATTCAGGTCACCTCAAATCTTGATTTAATCACTCATTGCACAAGAAAACAGAGCATGCACAACCAGGGCAAGACGGATTATCACAAGAGGAAGTTTGGGAAATGTTCCCCTTTCACCTTCTTTTTGGAGAGCCGGAGCGAGAGATAATCTGACTGCTCATTTCCCACTCTTAATTCTTCTTAATGACGACCTGCAGAGAACGTCCTCGCCTGTAGACGGTGTGGATGCAAACAAATAAGACTCTCATGTGAAGAAACCAGAATGATCCTTTTACCTTCTTATTATAAAAGAAATGAAGGTTCATTTAGTAACAGTGTGATTGTAACGCTGTACTGACTGCTCCTCCTCCCTCTGCAGTAACGTGGAGTGTGTGAAGCTGCTCCTGAGCAGCGGAGGAGATCACAACAGGAGGGATAACTGCGGCAGGTAAGAACACACACACGTCGCTGTGCAGGTGTTGGTCATAATGTCAGCTGTTACAATAAGAAGCAGATTAGTACAACTAAGTATGCTCACCTTCATCTAATGAGCAGGCGAACACAAAGTCTGAAGCACATTGTTGCCTGAAATAGCGCTGTTGCTTAAATAACTCGATGGGCGAAGCCAACAATGTTTGAGTTCTATTGTTCTGAGAAATGAGAACGTTTCAGGACGACGTAGAGAACGAACAAAAAGGAAAGCAATAGCATATCTCAGGAAGTGAACTGGTTGCTTGTGGCACGGCCATCAATGCCACTGACCAGTGGGGGCGCTCTGCCCTCCGGCTACCAGACCAATTGGTCCTGGACTTGAAGGAAAAGCTCCCCTGACTCGCTCTCTCTCGTCTCGTCTTCAGGACTCCGCTCCACTACGCTGCAGCCAGCCGCCACTTTCAGTGTCTGGAGACTCTGGTTGCTTGTGGCACCGCCATCAACGCCACTGACCAGTGGGGGCGCTCTGCCCTGCACTACGCTGCTGCCTCAGACCTGGACAGGAGGTGAGTGTGTGGATCAGACCAGAGTTAAGAAACAAATAAATAAACTACTCCGACTGAACATGAGGCGAGGAGAGACGGTGTAAATCACTTCTTCTCTGGTGTAAATCAGTGTAGCTGTCTGCTGCTGCCGCATATAGAGAACCTGATAGTTCACACCTCTCTGTTTCCATGGTAACCAGAGGTGATTCTGGGGTGATTGAGAGTCAAACCAGGCCGACAGGATTAGAAGCCACACAGTTTAGGATGCAGCGCGCACACACACAGACCTCCAGTGGTTATCGACTGACCTTCCAATCTGCATGAAAAAGATGTTTTATCCGTTTTTTATCTCGCCCTCCCCCCCCTCCCCTCCTCCTGCAGGCGTCGTGTTGCACTGGAGCCGGAGAGTGAAGGAGTCCAGGCGGAGAGGGAGAAAGAGGCAGCGCTGTGAGTACACAGACATAGACACATGTGAAACAGCTGATTACAACAGTTTTATTTATTTTTTTTATTAAAGAAGAAAATCTCTCTAGGCGCCGTATAGCCTAGCGTTTGTGTCACACGCCCAAAGTACAGAGCCTGTAGTCCTGATCATATTTGGATAAATAATCCTTTATTTTTCCTTTTAACTGGTCATTTCCTTTGTTTCTGTGCCTCAGGATTTCTCTCCAGCTGTAAGAATGTGAACTGGTTAATAACTTTTTTTCTTTTTTTGTTGCTCCAGATGTTTGGAGTTCCTGCTGCAGAGCGGAGCGACGGCGTCTCTGAAAGACAAACAGGGCTACAGTCCTGTTCACTACGCCGCAGCCTACGGACACAGGCACTGTCTGGAGCTGGTCAGTATGCACACACACACACGCACACACACAGATACACACATACACACACATGCAGATACACACATACAAACTTAGGCGCACACACACACACACACACACACACACACACACACACACACACACACACACACACACACACACACACACACACACACACACACACACACACACACACACACACACACACACACAGGAAATAGTTGTCGGACGCTTCAGGCGTTTTCTCTCTGCCCACCGTTCAAAGACGTTTGGAGAGACGTTCAAGTTTTGAGCTGATTTTTGTTCAAATGTTTCCCCAGAGTACTTTTGCATTAATTCATAAAAGCCTTTCTGCGTTCCTTATGTGTTCTGTATTTTTCGTCCTGCAGCTGTTGGACAGAGACGACAGCCACCATGACGACCCTGAAGCTCTGAACGCCCGGAGCCCGCTGCACCTCGCCGTGAGTCTCCTCCTTTAATCTGAGAGCTTCAGAAGAAAATAAGTCAATAAAAACATGCAAACTGTTGAACACTGTTGACAATAATCCTTAATGTGTGTGTGTGTGTGTGTGTGTGTGTGTGTGTGTGTGTGTGTGTGTGTGTGTGTGTGTGTGTGTGTGTGTGTGTGTGTGTGTGTGTGTGTGTGTGTGTGTGTGTGTGTGTGTGTGTGTGTGTGTGTGTGTGTGTGTGCGCAGGCGTATCACGGCCACGCTCAGGCTCTGGAGGTGCTGCTGCAGGGGGAGAGGGAGGTGGACCAGGGGGACGAGTCAGGGAGGACCCCTCTGGCCCTCGCTGCTCTCCGAGGACACACTGACTGTGTACACACGCTCCTCGGTCAGGGGGCGTCGCCTCGCACCACAGACACCCAGCACGGACGCACACCCGTACACCTGGCAGGTGAGCTCGCTGTGTTTCCTGTTTCTCTGCATCTTCTAACTTCTTATCGGCTCTAAAGTTTCCGCAGCAGAATGTACTCTCTGATGTGTCACATAATCATCTGTTAATAAACGCCATGGCGCTCTCTGCCTCCTCCAGTGATGAACGGTCACACGACGTGCGTGCGCCTCCTGCTGGACGAATCGGAAGCTGCAGAGCTCGTAGACGCTGCGGACGCTCAGGGACAGTGAGTGCTCCTGCTCTTTGCGCTGCTCCCTGTTCTGTTCTTCTCTTTTCTTTTTCTGTTCCTCTGATGAGTTTTTCTTCTGCAGGACTCCTCTGATGCTGGCGGTGGCCGGAGGTCATGTGGACGCCGTGTCGCTGCTGCTGGAGCGTGAAGCAAATGTCAACGTGGCCAATAAACACGGTCTGACCGCGCTGCACCTCGGGGTGAGCGTTCAGCTGAATGAAAAGCTTCTTCACGTCCTTTTCAAACGTCCTTTTGAATCATAATATCATTACGGGTTAATTTACAAAATATTATTGTGAGAAAATAATATGAAGAAGTAGACAGAAATGTACAGGGCAGGTTTTGCACACGGGTTGTAATACAGAGTTCTTGATTTTAGACTCTTTCTTAAATGTCATAAGTCTTCAAGCTGTGTGTTTATTTCACATATCTGTACCCGTGTCCTCCCTCAGCTGCTGTGTGGTCAGGAGGAGTGTATCCAGTGTCTGTTGGAGCAGGAAGCGTCCGTGTTGCTCGGAGACTCTCAAGGTCGCACAGCGATCCACCTGGCGGCGGCTCGAGGCCACGCCTCCTGGCTGAGCGAGCTGCTGTGCATAGCCTGCTCGGAGCCGCCGTCTCTGCCCCCGCTGAGAGACAACAGGGGGTACACGCCGCTCCACTGGGCCTGCTACTACGGTCAGTGACACACACACACACACACCGTCAATCCCTGTCTGTGTGGAGTTTGCATGTTCTCCCCGTGCATGTGTGGGTTCTCTCCGGGTACTCCGGTTTCCTCCCACAGTCCAAAGACATGCTCGTTAGGTCAACTGGTGACTCTAAATTGTCCGTAGGTGTGAATGTGAGTGTGGCTGGTTGTCTGTCTCTATATGTCAGCCCTGTGATTGGCTGGTGAACAGTCCAGGTACGCCTCTTACCCAATGACAATGAAAAAAAGAAGCAATAACTCTTCTTTGTGCAGTCAAATAATAACGTGTGCGTGTGTGTGTGCAGGTCATGAGGGGTGTGTGGAGGTGCTGCTGGAGCAGAAAGGATGTCGATGTATTGACGGGAATCCATTCACGCCTCTGCACTGTGCTGTGTGAGTAACAAACGCTTGATTACGGTTATTTACGGGTTTTCACTGAATAATGAAAAACTTTAAATAGTATAAAACTAAAAACAGGCTCGTTGTTGATGGATTTCTTCCTTTTGTGATCTTGTTGTTGTTTGTGTTTGTTCCTTCAGCGCGAACGATCACGAGCCGTGTGCGTCCCTTCTGCTGGAGGCCATGGGCTCAGACATCACCGGCTGTAAAGACTCAAAGGACAGGTAAAGACGCTTGAGTGCAGTCTGAGTGTTGCAGCTGGGGGGCGCTAAAGCATTATCTGTGTTTACCTTAAAAACCGTCTTATCTTCATCCCTCGTCTTCTCACCTGCAGGACTCCTCTTCACGCTGCAGCGTTCGCGGGTCACGTCGACTGTGTCCAGCTGCTCCTCTCCCATGATGCACCCGTGGACGCTGTAGACCAATCGGGTCGCACTGCCCTGATGATGGCGGCAGAGAAAGGCAGAGCGGGAGCCCTCGGTACAGACATTTGTTTGATTCACTTTGTGACTTTTTTTTTTTTTTTTTTTTGAGTTTGTGGATTTGGCTCTGATTGTTGTGTCTCGCTTCCCCAGAGGTGCTGTTGAGCAGCGCCAACGCCAACTTCAGTCTGACAGACAAAGACGGAAACACCGCCCTGCATCTAGCCTGCAGTAATGTAAGTGTCCACATGAGGGCTCCACTCTCCGTCCTCTTAATTAATTAACCTCTACCTGGAGATGTTATTATAGCTTCATTTATTCAGGACGTTTGTAATGGTCACTTCAGACATGAAATTAATTTTGTGGCCAGTAGAGGGCAGCAGAAACATGTGACCTCAGCTCAGAGAGATTAATCTGACCCGACTTCTTCTTCTAGGGAAAGGAGGAATGTGTGATGATGATCCTGGAGAAGCTCTCTGACACGGCGCTCATTAATGCGACAAATACAGCGCTGCAAACGTAAGTATCCAAAACCTCCCGCCGTAACAAAATCCACAGAATCTGAAACCTACAGACCAGCTGAGAAAGTTAAGCAGGCTGAGGTTCAGGAGAGGGAAGTTGAGACGGAGGAGGAGATGCAGTTGATATAACCTATTTTGATAAACCTGTCCGTCTGTGTGTCTCTCCGTCAGTCCTCTCCACCTGGCGGCTCGCAGCGGTCTGAAGAAGGCGGTCCAGGAGCTTCTGTCTCGGGGAGCAAACGTTCAGACGGTGGATGAGAACGGTGGGTGAAGCTGGTCTCCTTCAGGTCGGAGCTGCACGCTGTGGTCATTGTGCAGCATCAGTGTTTTTATAAGTCACAGCATGAACGAGGTGTTGTAGAGTGATGTTTCAGTGTGTGCTATCTTTATTTTTTTAAAAGCGGGTTCCCACTGTTGCCGTGGCAATCCGGGGAACATAAATTGTTTTGTTCCCCGGGTTGCTCGGGGATGCGGGGAACAAAAACTGAATCTTTACGATGAACTGAAAAACAAGCAAATATCTGATATTTACAATAAGAGGTCAAAGGTTAACCTCCACAGTGGGAACCCTGATTTAAACTGGACTGCTTGTTTGCTTGTCATTAGCCCTTTTCAGACCGCCGCTTCAAGCCGCAATATCTACGCCCCCCGCTATGTGTCTCCTTCAGTCTGAAAGTCGCGGCGCCGTAATGGGGGGGACGAAGTGATCCCCCCCCCTCTGTACCGTCTTCAGATGTAGTAACAGAGGCGAGACGTTTTCATAGAAGCCAGCAGAGGGGAGCGCGGCCCTGTTTGTGTGTGCATGTCTGACTGTGTGTGTATGTGGAGCTCCCGCTGTGCCGTGCTCTCTCGCGCTTCAGAAACGCCAGAAAGCGTGTGTGAATGTGAACCCACAGACTGGGACACCGAATGTGACGCTGTCGCTGAATCAGTATGAATGTTCAAAGATGTGATGACGGCTGAGTTTAGTCCCAGCAGTCTGAAAAGATCTTTAGATGTTTGTTACCTGTGGACGTCTCTGTGCTCTCTGTGTGTGTCCCCCCCCTCCATGTTGTGGACTGTCAGCTGGCTGAACTCTAACTGAATGCTGCTCCATCCCTCCTCTGTCTCCTGCTTCGCCTTCCTGCTTCCTCCACGTCCTCGTCTCGCCCTCCTCCTCCTCCTCTCTCTCTCTCTCTCTCTCTCTCTCAGGTCTGACGCCTGCTCTAGCTTGCGCTCCTAGCAGAGAGGTGGCTGACTGTCTGGCTCTCATACTGGCTACCATGATGCCTTTCTGCTCCCCTTGCAGCTCCGGGGCCCCCTCCCCAGGCGCCCTGCTGAGGCAGCTGCCCCACCAGGGGGGGAAAGGCCCGAGCAGCGGCCCCAGGGCGCCACGCAGCCCCAGGAACCCCTCCGGACCCTCCAGCGAGGGAACAACGGAGAACGACTCGGAGGACTCAGAGACTTTCTGACGCCTGCAAACCGACTCTCTACCCTCCTACCTGAAGATGTGCACCTGAACTCTTGACCCCCCCCCAGGATATGATGCAGTTTTTTAACGTGTGCTCTTCAGCGAGGAGGGTAGAGACTTGGTTCGGATGTTTTTTGCTCTTCATGCGTGGAGAATTGTACAGAGCCGCTCCCTCTTAGTGCCCTTTTTTTTCCAGAAACACTGAGCTGATGAACTGACTGAATCCTGCAGCTGAACAAGTCGCTCCACAAAGACGTAGAAGGAGGTTTTAGATCTGGATCGAGGAGATTGCGGTCCGGGTCTGCATGCTTGTCACACCACGGTTTGTTCCTCCTCCTCACGGGTGCTTAAATCCAAACCGACCTCGGTACTTCAGCCTCTGCTCGCCTCAGAGACTCGTTTTGTCTTAAAAAGAAGAAGCCATTTTTAACTGTTTGTATGAAATGAAGTAGAAAATGAAGAAAGTTTAGATGTGATTTTAACCTTTTTATGATTTTGGCTTGTTGTTGTACCAAATATTTGACTTCCACACATAAAAAACAAACATGAACCGAAGGAGACAGGTACTAAGAGCTGTTGTTTTGACAACTGAAGCACAAATTAAAACTTTGCTTTGAGTTTTTATGAGCTGGAATGTGAAGTGTGCGTCGTTTGATCGGGATGTTTAGTAGTTTAAATATTTTCACCCGCGAGGTTAAGACGACGGGAACGTCTCAACTCCCTCATTTGGCCGAAGAGAAACTCAGGAAAAACAAACATTTCCAAAAAAAGTGCTGCACAAGAGCTCATTCTTTGTTATTTGCGTTTGTTGATTTTATAGGGGTTACTGCCCTTTGTGATGTCATGAAGGGAAAATCTCCAAACGGCCTGTTTGAGCACACATTTTCTGAAAAGTGGAGCAGGCAAAAGATGGAGAGGATGGACTTTTCTCATCATTGGGGGGTTTGTAGACAGACTAGAGACACATATTAGTGGAAGAGAAACATGGTGAAGTGTGTTTTACATCATGTGACCTTTGACCTTTTCAATCTGGGTACAGTATTCAACCTTTTATTCATCTTAAATTCATTGCTCTTGTCCTGGAGAATATGAGAGTTCCCTGAAGATAATCTCTGGGCATCTCCTCCCTCTTATTACTATAATTGTTAAACCTTCATGGCAGACAGAATCACGTAAATAAATTGATTTCCACACCGCCAATAAAACGAAGGAATCTCGCAGCGATCAAATGAGGGGATTGAGACGTACCCACGGATGAAAACAGGGTTTGTGCAGACGAGAATAAAATCTGAGATTTTTTAGCATTTTCATGTTTGTTAGCCAGAAACGCCTCCTACAGGCGTCTCCTCCTCCTCCTCCCTGTAACCAGAACTTTTCCATCTGGATGTTTCTAAAAGTTGAATCATTTAAAACTCAGATGATTCTCCAGCAGAGCTCAAAGCACTTCTCAACCTTTTCTCTGCTCTTCCTCCAGCTCCTACTGCTCCTCTTCCTCCACTTCCTTGTCCACCTCCTCGTTCTCTTCCTCCTCTCGTCTGTCCGTCTACCTACCAGCTACGTGCCATTGTCTTAAACGTGTCCAGTGCCTTGATGTCATTAATTTTAGGATTTTCATATTTTGATCATTAAAGGATCAGCTCGCCGTAAAAACACACAAAAAAAATCTCTGGATGCTTTATGTGTCCAGTTTTTTTAAGATTTTCCACTCTAACTCTGAACAATTTATACAAAATTGCCTTAACTGAGATTTAGAAACAATGTCTTTAATAATCAGCTGGGTAATTTTATTAAATGCAAAAAAAGACTTGCATTTTAATTTTATTGGATGTCATTCAGTAAATCATTCTTCACATGTGTGGAGATGAAGATTGACTTTTTAAAAAATGTTTTAATCAATTCGAGCTTCAGTAACTTTTGGCCTGGGAGCAGAAATCTTGACGACTCCATCCTGTGTGTTCGACCCAGCGACTGCTCGATAAGACGTTTTTTTTTATTGGCATATGGTCGAGCTGGTTCTTTAATATCTGCCGCATTACGCGGACAGTTTTGTTCCACTGAATGACAAAGTTTGAGAGATGAATATGCAGATTGAATTTGTAATGAAATGATGTCTCACTCCTCCGTTTTCTCTCCTTCACGTTCGGTGAACTTCTGAATATTTTCTTGTCGACACTTCACATGAAAAGACTAAAAACCAGCAGAGTGTTAGTCCATGTCGGTACGTCTGTGGCTGTTAAATCGAAGTCCCACTCAAACACAAATCAGAAAGTGCTCGTTTGACGTCTTTAAAAAGTGATTTATTCCCCTTAGACAGCTGGGAACTGTAGTCTTTAACAAATGTCTCGTGTGTCAGATATTTTTAGATTTATTCACCAAACAGCATTTTGTTTGAGTTTCATTGTGTCACACTTGCAGATCTCTGTCACCAGCAGAGGGCGCAATATGAATTACAACAAGCATCATCACTCTCGAGTGCAGTGATGCTCATACTCAGTTAGCTTACAGTAGTGTTTGATAACTGCATAATGAGGGATAAACTCAATATGTGTGTTTCAATATCTATCTCTATGGATCAAAGATCTAGGAAAATTTATGTGACGTCAAATTGTTTTACTAACTTGGTACAGATCATCAGTGGGGATAAAAGGGTAAAAAAAAAAAAAATTAATATGCGTGAGTTTGCACACAAACGTGATGTCACAAGTCAGTGCTCCAGTTGGGCCAAACCAGTTAGAAAAGTCTGGACACGCCCACTCCTGTTGTGGCGAAACAAAACGACACATAAACCAGTTTAACATTGAGGCTCATCGATGTGTTTTTATAATCTCTGGAAAGAAATTAAGCTCAGCTGTTTTTTTTTCGTCTTTTCATGAGATTTTTCAAACAATAAGAAAATACCAGAAACTCTCCGGACTGACCCTTTAATAATGTGTGAGAGTGTGTGTGTGTGTGTGTGTGTGTGTGTTGTTTAGGTACTGATTGCTTTTGTATATAATGTTGAAGTAAAGCTTTGTATGAAATTAAATCATCTACATCACAACACCACGTTTGAACTCGCAGGGTGAAAAATGCTCTGATGAGATTTGTTGATGAAATGAGAAGAATTGGTGTTTATTGATGATTTGTCGTCTAAATTCTAAACCCTGTTAGCTGCCATTAGATTCATCCGGAGATATAAGCACACACGTTGTTAGCGAGCACCGCCTCCTTCTGAAGGTCTGCAGAGACTAAATCTGTCCGACAGTATTATTATTATTATTATTATTTTATTTTAATTTTAAATCGAACAGAAAATGATCGTCACCAGTCCTGACAATCGCTGCGTCAGGTGTCTGATGATTTTCACTCCAGTTCCTGATGCAGTGCGACATGCTGACGGCTGATTTTCAGCTTCCCTTTGTTTTATATGAAATGTACAATAAATAAAACATCTGTTTGAAGCTACTACTTCTTTCTCTTTCATTCTCACTGAACCCAAGCAGTAACCTCCGGTCTCCGATGCTGAAGTGTAAAATACTGCAGTTCCTCGAGTGTCCACTAGAGGCTGGCTGCAGACGCACAGGAAGTCACATACACACCCATTCTAAAAAGCCTGTTTTTACAGCAGAGATTTACATGTTTACAGCCTGGTTCAAAAAACTAAACAGGTCTGATTAGCTCAAGTCTCGATCAGCACACACTGTACGAAGAATTCACCTGGAGCTAGTGGGAGGGGGTGGTGACGTTTACTCCCTGTGAACGCTGCACGACCATAGACTGTCTGCACTTTTTCTTTTAGATTTATTTTTGGGCTTTTGATGCCTTTATTTAGAAAAAGACAGAGGATAGAGTCTGAAATCGGCGAGAGAGAGAGAGTGAGGAATGACATGCAGAAAAGGAGCCACAGGTCGGACTCGAACCAAAGCCGCCCGCTTCAGGACTGTATCCTCCAAACTAACCACAAGGTCACTAGCGCCCAAAGTCTGCACGTTATAGAAGCTGAAAACGACTTGTAATTATCTCTCTGATTGATAAAGTGTCTCGGACTGTTTTCTTCGGATCAGCCTCTTTAAGAATAATAAATAAATAAATAAAACCACCAAAGACGTGTTCGCTCTGACAAATCAGCATTAATAATCTTTTTAATACTTTCATAATCTCTGTACATTTACAAACTTTAAATTACACAGATGAGTTTGTTCACCAAACTACGACCGATAATGTTTTCAGTCGCTCCTCTTGAAACAGGCGGACTGATGGCACTATTAAAAGGAAATAAAAATCCAAAGGTGGTGGGGGGGGTCGAATTATAATCGGATCATCCTGCATTAAGACCTCCCCCTCCCCCGGGTTAAAACGAATCTACGTCGTGTTAGAAGTCAGCAGCTGCAGGTCGGAGCTGCTGTGTGGAATGATTCTGTGCTCATACTTCACGAGTGTGTGCTTGTTGGTCCAAACCCGGAAACTGAAATCGCTGCTGAAAGAGTCAGACAGGGAGTGTGTTTCTGTTTTTGTTGTCTCTGCACGTGGACCTTCGACCTTTGAGCCTTGAACGCACCGCTCAGCAGTTGATGCCCAGGCCGGTCCAGTGATCCGGGACCATCAGGAAGTATTTGTCCATGGCCTCGCAGAATCGAGCTCTGTACAGCTCCGGGGAGACCACGGTGGGCATCTTCCCTACACGACCAAAAACACGCAACACACTTTAGAAACAGGAAACAGCGTTTTTAAAGAAATCAGAACATCAAAGTAAGTCGAACCAGCAGGCAAACTTTATCAGAAGATTTTGATGTAGTACCCCTCTTTGCCACTATCTCATACATAAATACGGCGTTCTTTTCTCATTGTGTCTCGCTTTCACAGATGAAGTCCAGTGGACTCGCTGCGATTCAGCGGTCAAGTTGTAACACTGGTGGATTTTTCATTTGGTTCATTTTGCTTTCACGCACCAAAAGCCGGTCACATGTTTTGTGCTGCAGCCACCGGCCACTAGAGGGCTGTAGCTCCGGTCAGTGGTTACTGCTATCCAGCCTAATGCTGAACTATGACCCCGAGGTAAACGGCCAAATTTAACCCACAATGCACTGTTGTTTGGTTCACTTCCCTTGTTCGGTTTGGATCGTGTTCTCAACTACTAAAAACTGAACTCTGGTGCACTTGGAAGCAAACCATGACCCCTGTTTTCAGGCTGACCAGCGTTCAGATCTTTGGTCCAGACTAGAGTCCGTTTGAGGGTTCACACCAAACCGAACCAAACAAACTATCCCACAAAGAGCACCAGAGTTTGTCACAAACGGAGAAAATGGCTCGGTGTTAATGCACCTTAAGTGAATTAAAATAACATGACTCTTTTACAAGTGAGTGAAAGTGGGCTAAAACGTGCGTTGTAAACAGGAAGCGTGTTACCTTGACCTCCCAGGATTCCAGTGGATTTGACAACCATCTCCAGTCTCTTGTCCCAGGTAAACGTCCGGATATAATCTTCAAGGGAGAGGAGAGACAGAACTTACAGAAACTGTATAAAACATTTAATTCAAACAGGTGATACTTCAGACGCTCCCTCACCTATGATCCCGACCACCAGCTGGTCGGTGGCGTCGTCCCGCCCCACCAGCAGCGAGTAGTCGATGATGAGGTGGCTGGACAGG